GCCTAGGGAGTTTTACTTTTAAGAAGTCACCTGACATTTTAACTACCTTTAAGGATTTGAGGGTAACAATACTTCTTTATACATTTTGATATTTTAAAGAAAAAGCCCAAACTAAGTGAATCTCAATAAATGTGCAGAGTTGTGCTATTAATCAGTTAATCACCCCTACCCCATTCTCCTTAATTTTTACTACAAAGGAGAACATTATCAAGATGAATAACTATTTTTCTATTTTGATATCAAAGAGCAATGGGAATTTAGAGGGCACCAACCCCTTTAAAATAGTAAGATTACACCCAAATTCAGTGGCACATGTCTGTAATCCCAGCAACTTGGGAGGTTGAGGCAGGAGGATTGTGAGTTCAAAGTCAGCCTCAGCAACTTAGTGAGGCCCTAAGTAACTCAGTGAGAGCCTGTGTCTAAAATATAACAAGGGCAGGGAATGTGGCTCAATGGTTAAACACCTCTGGGTTTAATCTCTGGTAGCAAAAAAAAAAAAGTTAAGATTATATCTGAAAATACATGGATTATTCCAATTAGCCCAGGCTTGAGACGAGATCTTTACTTTCTCCTTCTTCCACAAAGAAAACCAGCCATTTAAGTAATGGAATAAACTATTTCTGACTTCAAAATAAGTTTCAAAATTAAAATAATAAATAAAAGAAGAATTCTAGACAACCAGAAAAAATTTATTTCAGGCATGGCACTGTCATGAATTCAAAGTTTAATAAGACACCAGGCGGGAAAGTGCCTTCCTACCTGTGTCCACTGTTAGGGATGCATCACCACCATTTCTGTCCTTCAAGTCCTTTGAGACAAAGACATAACTTTTTCTCCTAAACACAGCAGAATGCAATTTTAGAGTTTTTTTTATTTTTTGTTTCATTACTTTCTCATTTCTTTTCTTTCTTTTTTTAAACTCAGCTTATAATAAGCACTGATAGAACATACAAGAAAAACATGGGCTAAATGTCCTCATCTCAACCACTATTTATATTTGTTCACTATCTGCAGCTATTGCCACCTCGAAATTGAGATTTAAAAAAACAAACAAAAAAGGGTAGAATATGAAGACTCCAAACCATTATCTATTAGAACACAAATATATTTATATTTGTGTTCTAATCTTGTTTCTCAAGGTACAATGAAAATATATTATTACTATTACAGAAAAAGAAAATAAACTTTAAAAGTGTAGTGAAGTGGGGGACAGAGGACAGACATCATTGTACATGTGAATTTAAAAATTTCACTAAGTACGAATTATATATGACAGTCATAGTGCAAAGACTGGGCTTTATTATCTACTAACAGTATGATAAAACTGTAAAACTATTCTGCTAGATGGTTTACACATTAGATGTAAAAATCTTTTTCCATACAATCAAAACTCAAATCTGTATTTTCTGATCCTTTAGGTGAAAAACTATTTCTGGTATAAAAGCAAAAACTAAAATGAACTCTGGTAAATACATATTCACCTCATATCTCAAAGAAACACTGGTAAACGGTCCCTATTTATACAGAGAATTATAACCAAATTGAGTACAGGTAAACACAACGTATATTTTGAGGTAAGATTTCTACTGTAATTATTAGAAAAGAGACATTTAAGTTTTAAGAATATCTTCAAGAAGAAGCTGCTACTGTTGGTCACTGATCGATTGCTTTTTTTTTTTTTTTTAAAGTCTACACACAATTTCTTTCCTGAGGTAAACAGATTCTATTTATTTTTATTTTTTGGGGGGAGCAAAGAGTGTTTTCTCCTTTCAACATTTTAAAACTGAAGCTATTAGGTTTAAAAAAAAAAGCCTGAAAGTCAAAATATAAGTAGAGATTAATAATTGGATTTTTTTCTAACGAAAGGATAATGAAGTCTATAAATAAACATAATGATTTTCAATTTTATGCTAAAATGTAAGTAGTAAACAGGCAGCCCATTTTATTGACAATGTTATTTTCAATTGGATAAATTTAACTGGTGTGTTTTAAACACATTTGTATGTTACAACTTGACCATAGTTAAGGAGAGAAAGGCCTGTTGAATGCTGTGTTGGGTAAAAAAAAGGAGAAAGAGAAGCTTGTTTAACTGAGGAGCTCAACAGTTTTCTAGGCCAGTGGTTCTCAAAGTGTGCTCCTGGAGCAGTAGCATCTGCGTCACCTGGAAACTTGTCAGACCTGTCAGAAGCTCTGTGGAGGAGGCCCATCAGTCTGTTGAACAAACCCTTCAGGAGATTCTGAAGCCCACTCAAGTGAAAAAGCCACTACTGCTTCAGCCTGTAAGTCCACTTCCCCTCATCTCCCCTCACCAACCACAACACTGCAAAATTTTTAACTCTAGCGTACGTACTTGTACTTGTTAGTAACAAGATTAATAATCTTGTTACAAGTGCAAGTAAGATGAAGCTTAGATGTCTCAAAATTTTAAAACCAAGGCTGAAAATGGAAGATGGGGTAGAAAACCTCTGGCCCTAAATGAATCTGGCACTAAATAGTAGTAAGGAACTGAGAAGACACAGAACTTACTGAAGTTAACAGGGAAAAGAACACTATATTGGCTGCCAAGAATTTAAACTCCAAGCAAGGGGAACTGCCCACAAATGAGAAGCATCAGGAGAAGGACATAAGAGTTAAAAAAGAAGAAAAGCATGCAAATGCACATAAAAGCATGTGGGCATATGTACAAACACTACAGTCTAGGGAAGTGAGTGGCAAAGAGGCAACAGTAACTAGGACTGTGTGCAGCTAAGGAGCCAATGGCACATTCAGAGGAATTCAAATCAAGCACCACATAAGACAGAACAAGGAATCCTACAAGTTTACAAGTATTTAAAAGCACCTTACAGATATAGCAACATATCAGCTATAAAAGCTATAGTCACTGGAAACATTTAGCAAAAAATCCAATTCAATCTGACCTCAGGAAATTCAACATGAAGGTATGCACACTAGAATACAATGTAAGCCTGTGTGGGGTAACTCTCCCAACACACTGTTACACAGTCAAAATTAAACAAAATACTGTACTGCAGCCCAAGCAATAGTGAAGATATTCTCATATGGGTGTAGAGGGTCCTCCTTTCTCCAGAGTTGATTTTCTCTATTTAAATCCTTGGGCTATTCTCTTAGCTCTTAGCAGCTATTTAGTCTTGAGATGGGCACACAACTTTATATACTCTTATTTTCTAGGAATACAAAAGAAATTTCCCTTTCACTTTATACTCACAAAAGGGCTAAAGTTTTAAAAATAACTTTTAAAAAGAAACCAAAGTAACTCAATAGCAACATATGAAGTAAAATCTTTTACTGAACATAGGTATTTGTAAAGTTAGGCTCTTATCCAAGCAAATCCACAAACCTGGCCACAAGACAACTGCTAACAAAAGCCCCTAACTTTGCATGGCTTTTTAGAATATCCCATATATCCTGTAAAACATATAATGAAATTAACACAACATGAACTATGTATACAGTAACAGAATTACTATGATGTATTTTATACAATAATTCTGAATTAAAAAAGTAAAATAATCTACGCCAGGCATAGTAGCACTTGTCTGTAATCCTAGTAACTGGGGAGACCAAGGCAAGAGGATTATAATTTCAATGCTAGTCTAGTAATTTAGCAAAATTCTGAATCAAAATAAAAGGGGCTGGATTATGGCTTAGTGGATTAGTATTCCTGAGTTCAATCCTCAGTACCCCCCCCTCCCAAAAAAAGGTAAAATACTCTAACCAGGTGTGGTGGCACATGCCTATAATTCAAGTGACTCAGGAGGCTGAGATAGGAGGAGGATAACTTGGAGGCCAGCCTTCTTGGCAACTTAAGGAGAGCCTGTCTCAAAAAAATAAGGGTTGGAGATGTATTTAAGTGGTACAGCACCACTATGTTCAATCCCACTACCGTAAAATATAAATAAATAAATTAATTAAAAAATAAAATAATCTGATTTACAACACATACCTCAACTAACCAAATCAAAGCGTCAACATTTCAAGTTCTTGAAAAGGAAAGCAAAACAAAGTTCCCAAGAAACATGTGATTTCTTGGGACAAGTCCATGACAATTAGGAAGCAAAAAAAAAAAAAGAAAAGAAAAGCATCAGGTTCATATCTCCCCCTAAAAAGAGAACTTACCCTACCAATTTATCCTGCTTCACTTCTAAATAGTTGAACAGAGATAAAGGTATCTAGTAGCTTTGGCAATGGCCCATATTTGAAATAGGTGATGATGGTGTGGAAATGAAGGCTATATCTGACTCTTTGTGGAGAAAAGCCGCTTTGTTGAACCCCAGCACCACAAAAATAAAACAACAACAAAAAAGAAAATCCAAAACAAGACATAACAACAACAACAAACTCTATTCAGCCACTGAGATCACAAGACAATTCCTGATCACATGTGGACACCTGGTTCTTTCAAGGGTTTCTAGTCAGAATATTCTTACAGATGTCATAACAAAAAGGTGAAAAATTATGCACAGAAATGAAATTATGATCTATATGAGAGAATAAGAGGAATGGATAACAGCTGATACCTGGAGTTTATTTACTCTTGTCATTTGAATTCCAACAACTTATACAGAATAATTTCTATAGAAACCTATATAAGAGCTTGATTGTTTCCTCCCATGGTGAAGTAACATTAACCAATTTTTTTTTTTTTAAACAGGGGTTTATTTTGGCACTCAGCTGCAATTAAATCCAGAAACACTAACCAACTTTTGAAGTTTTAAAATTTTTGAAAAGATCCAGATGTTTCCTGGAGATCATCTAGCCAGCACTAAGCTATTTGGCAAGAATGGTAAGATATGAAAAAGCTACAGTAACAAAAATACCATGTCCAGTCTACATATGACTCAAAGTTAACATTTGTTAGTTGATTTCTACCAACTTAGACTCTTGTTAAAACATTTAAGAAGTTTTGCTTTCAAAAAAATATCACTTATATATAACAATGAGGAACAAAGAAAGGAAAAGAGACGGCTATGAGGACCTACGTTTTGGCTGTGACATCCACATACTGTCCTGGACGAAAGTGAGCAGCATAAAGAGGAGTGCCTTTGTGAAAAGAAAACAAAAAATCAACATGAAATGTATTAACACAGAAACAACTTTTTAAAACAAACACTAGAACCAGGAAGCCTCTTAGCTATTAAATTTCATAAAAAACAGAAATGTCTCTTCTGCAAATATAAACATTAGAAATACCCAAACAATGACACTATTCAACAAACATGTCTTTTAGTTGGCTAAAGAACATGGTGGCCTAGCATGAGGGACACGGTGCTGAAGGGAGCCACCAGCCAGAGGCCAAAGTGGAGCTGGTCAAAATGAGTGACACCATGATTGCTGATGAACTCACAATCTGAAAATTCCTAGTTGTTTTGGTAAATAAGTAAAATGAACTAGGATATATTATCTATATTACATTAAAAAAATAAGAAAAGAACTAAAAACATGTTGGGGCTTGAGCAAGTCTTTTATCACCCATTGGAGAAAAATAGAAACTTTAATTACCTGAACCCAGGCCCCTCATATGCTAGGTAATGATCATGGTATGGTCACGATAGCCCTAAAAAGCCCATATGTATTAGAATTTTGATGTACTGGTCATTGTTTCAATATGTGCCCCAATATTTGCAAGAGCAAAAATTGTCATTATAGGTATTCCTAACTCTATATAGAAACATTTACAAAATGTCTATTTATATGCACTTAATTATATGTAAATTTTAAATTTCCTTGGGAAATAAGTCATTAAAAAAATTAAAATTTTGTGATGAAATCTTTCACAGTATTTTGTTTATATATATTAGATATTAACATTTATGAAAACTACTTAATTTGGCAATTATTAACAAATACTTACAAAATATTTACAAATACATATAGCTAAAAATGCAAAAGTATTAAAGAAGGCCCCTGACCTTAAGAAATTTATCATCTTGGTAAAGAATCAAATTGATACAGTCAAAAAAGAGATAAAAACAAACAAACAAAGAACCCAGGAACCAATGTTACTAAAAACTAATTTCAGTTAGTTTGTATAATAGTAGTAAAGTACACTGGGATTTCAGAGAGTAGTTTTCTTTTTGTTTTAAACTTTTTATTGTTGTTGTAGATGGACAGTATGCCTTTATTTTATTTTTTAATTTTTTATGTGGTGCTAAGGATTGAACCTAGTGCCTCACACGTGCTAAGAAGGTACTCTGCCATTGAGCTATAACCCCAGCCCAGTAGTTTTCTTTAAGGTAGGACATAACCTGGATTTACCTGGCAAGAGAAAGACCTTGAATTAAGAAAAAATAGGGACTTAATCACATTGCCTACATATATCAAAATCACAATATACCCCATTAAATGAATATGGTTATCATCTGTCAATCAAAAATATTAATTTAAAAAAAGAAAAATTGGGGAGATTCCAAGAATATTACATAGGGTGCATTTCTATGAAGCTGAATGACTTAAATTGCTATTTTACCATTTTTGATCCATAAAAACAATAACTTCATATGGTTAGAGCAATCGCAAAAGTTGGTGTGGATTCAATTTTTATTCTTACTCTAAATGTGCACAAAGGGTTTAAGAAAATTAGATGAGTTAATGCCAAAGATTTATTTAAAACCATTTCAGAGCAAATTATCTATAATTCAATTTACTTTTTGCCTTCAAGATATAAAAGTTAAAAATTTCTACAATCTTGTTAGAATTCATATTCAAGAAATCGGGGGGCTTTTAAGTTCAAAAACATTAAAAAGCTGCATTTGTGACAGATAAAATCATATATCAAATTCTACTTTCTGACATTCCATGGATCAGGTAAAACGGAAATTTTAAATAAGAATCTTAATATTATAGGTCACTCTCCAGTTTCAGGCTACATTTTCTCACTAAAGAGAGCCTAGTTATTCTTCACATAACAGAATGCCAGCCTGCAAACAATGAACCTTGAATTTTAAAAGTTAGTGTATTTATTTGAAAGTGGCTTTTCCAAATAAGAAGCTCTACATTAAAAACAAAAGTGTTCCTCCCTCTCTCACAGAAAACAAAGAGTCCCCTACAGCTTTCTCCATTTATGAGAGACAAGGAATTGTTTGTTCCTAGTGATTATATCAGATGGTATCTTATATTTAAAAATAAAGTGTTTGGGATTTGTATTTTAGATTCAGCTTTATTGAAATAGCTGACATTAAATAAGTCACATAATTGGGTATTTTTACCTCCCTCCTCTCCCCAACCTCAGATTACCTGGTTTAATTACAGCATTATCTGTTACATTAAAGATTTTAATTTTCTGTTTTGGTGGCAATCCAAGTTCTCGGTAAAATTTCAATACAGATGTAGGTTTCTAGAGGAAAAGTGGTGCACATTAGTAATATATTAAATGTGAAAAGTAGAGATTAATATATAGAGATCCAAGTCACATTACAAACATGTGAGAAAAAAATGAAAGCACACTATTTCCCTATTGAACAAAGCGCACCCTATTCCCTTCATTTAAGGAAGGTGAGATTTACATCTATGATCCATTGTAATTCTAGGAACAAATAATCTTATTGCTTAGGATCTAACCATCTATACAATTTTTCAAAAAATAGTATACAATAAATCTTTGTTCTGTAGTAAAGACAGTTGTGCCCTTATCCTTTTAGGATAAGATCTTGCTAAATTGCCCAGGCTGGCCTTGAACTTGTGATTCTCCAGCCTCAATCTCCTGAGTAACTGAAAATACAGGTGTGCATCACCACAACCTGTTTTACTCATATTAGAATTCTGACTAGATACTGTATCAAGGACCACAACCCAGGAAATCAACTATTTGTCTACTCTGCACCTATTCTGAAACAACTGGAAGAAAACACAATAGGTCACATTTAAATGTCATGGCACACTTTAAAGTAAATCCCAAACGTGGTCTGACCAACAACCACATTTCTCTGGTTAAATCTTTCTTACACACTCCAAGGCAATTAAGTCTGTTATGGTTTAGATATGTGCTGTCTCCCAAAAGCTCATGTGTGAGACAATGCAAGAAAGTTTATAGATAAAATTATTGGGTTATAAGAGGTGAATTAATCCCCTGATAGGGATTAACTCAGTGGTGACTAAAAGTGGGTAGAGTGTAGCCAGAGGAGGAGCGATCACTGGGAGCGTGCCTTTGGGGTTTATATTTTGTCGTGGTGAGGAGAGGTCTCTCTCTGCTTCCTGGTGCCATGTTCCCAGATGCTTTCTTCTACCACATTCTTCCACCATGATGTTCTGCTATACTTTTTGCCCAGAGCAATGGAGTCAGCTACATGTGGACTGAGAACTCTGAAGCTGTGAGCCCCTAAATAAACTTTTCCTCCTCTAATTGTTCTTGTCAGGTCTTTTGGTTGCAGCAGTGAAAAAGCTGACTAACATCCTCTTCTAAAATCTACAGCACTGTTCCTTACTTCCCCTCTCTCTGAGCTGTTCAACTTGAAGAATCAAGAGAACTTCTTCATGTTCCCACCACCAAATAAGTCAAACTACCTGTCCCAGCACTCCTGTACTGCTATCCTCCCAACCCACTCCTGGTTGCACATGAAATGCATATGGTGAGCTTTTAGAAAATGTCCCAGTCTTCTGCTGGGAGACTAACTTCACTGCTCTATGGTGGAGCCCAGGCACCAGTATTTTTTTTAAAGTATCTCATGAGTCCACACCAACCAACGCTTTCTTATTAGTGTATGAACATGTCATAATAACCCACATATTAAAACAAAAAATTTTCCTTGACCATATATTCTTCAGCTAGTTTTTCTGTTCCCTTTTACAGCAATGCTCCTCAAATGCTCCTCAAAAGAATTGCTAAGTCTACTTTCTCTCTACCTATTCTCTGAATCCACTTTAATCAGGTGCTCTCAGCTCCTAATATTCAATATAAAGAGGCTTGCAAGGTAATCAATGATCTCTACATAGTCAAATGCACTAGTTAATACTCAAATACAATGGTCAATGTTGATCAGGGATAGTCAACACAGGTGACTACTCCTTCCTTGAAAGACTTTCACCTGGCTTCTAGTCATTACTCTCTTAGTTCTCATATATGTAAATGGCTTCACATTTCTAACTTAATTTCAAATTATTTTCTGAACTATAATTTACAAGTCCAATTGCATTATCTCTAATATCAAACAGCAATTCATACTTAACATCTAAAATTGACTCAACTTCCTCCCAAGACTGCTTTCTCTTAGTTTTCCAAATCTCAATAAATGCCAACTTTGGTTGTTTGGGTTAAACTCTGTGGTCACCCCTCTCTTTCACATGACACAAGTTCTATTTAAAAATTCAGCCCACACCAAATTTCCTACCTCCCCTCCCCTCCATACCACAATCTTTTGCCTGGTCCATGTTTCCTTATTCCTGATTCCCTGGTCCATTCTCAATTCGCAGGCTGCCATAATCATTTTAAAACTTAAGCTATGTCATATCTCTGTTGTGTCTTCCACCTCAATGCAGAATTAAGTCCTAAGTCCCTGGTTTATAAGGTTCTACACAATGATCTTATCTTCTACTCTCCTCTTGGCTCACCCTGCTTCAGAAGAAATGAACTCCCTTACTGATCTAAGATCATATCCAACACTAGTTTCAAGTTCTTTATGTATACTATTTCCCCTGCCTGCTGAGCTTTACTGCCAGAATTTTGGGTGACTTGCTCCCACATTTACTTAGGTCTTCCTCTACATACCAATTTACCTTTTCTGAATTACTCTTATCTAAAATAGCACCACTTCTGTCACTTGTCACCCACTCAGCTGATTTATTAATCTTCAAAGATTTTAAATATTATATTTAATCTTCAAAATAACTTTAAATATTGTTTTATCTTCTATAGAATGCTACCCAATCCCACAATATGTAAGCTTCCTGAAGGCAGAGACTTGTTTTACTTGCTACTGTATCCCCAGCTTCTGGTAGTTCTTATTGTCTGTTCTTCTCCTCAATCCTACTTTTTTTCCTGCTATTATAAATATAACTACAATCAATATCTCTGAAAATAAAATTTTATGAACATCTTGTTTCCTTATAATAATGTTCCAGGTATCTACCCTCCCCTTAATTAACTTAAAACTCTTGATATAAGATTGCTATAAGACTTGCCAAAAAAAATATCATTTTATATTTTCTGATGTAAAGAGTGCCTCTTTCATCAAAATATAACCAGCACCAGTATATCTATTTCCTTGCTGTTTCCTCTTCCTCAACTCTCCCTCTAATCAAAAAGAAGGACCTGCAGGCCCCCAATGGACCATAGTGTCCTGTATATCCATACCTGTGTCTGTCTATGCCACTCTTAACTTATAATCTCCTTCCTACCCAGCACCTCCAAATGAAGATCATTAAAACTGTGTTACATATGTTTCTTGTTCCAGCTCCAGTTATATTTCCCATCCAAATCCTCTGTGAACAGCCTTGCTAGAATCCATTGCTCCTCTGTCTACACCAACCTAGAACCTGCATATACTACTGTTCAAATCACTTATTTATCTACTTCTGTGTATCTTTGCCTGCCTGCTGGCCTGTGAGTTACTTATATGGTTTTATTATCTCCATTTCTAACTTTAGATCCAAGCACGTACTGACAGTTTAGACAATGAAGTATACAAAGAAATTTCTGAGAAGAATTCTTTCCTTGACTTAAAACCTAAAAAGAACTAAGTAACATCTACTTATTATTATTTTTCAATTTTAATAAAATTGAATATTTAGATTTTTTCTGTTAAAATCATAATATTACAAAACTAATTAGGTCTCAGTCATGAGAAAAATGATCAAGTTAAGATGAAACCATCTTTTCTTTTTAAAATGTTCAAATAAATGATTTCAAGACAATTTTAAAGACTGGCAGCATTGTCATACTCGAATAATCCAATCGATGAGGATGCATTTCCCCCACCTCTTCAAAGTTCGTTGTAATTATCCTTACAACAATGGAAATGCTTCTCTGCTCTTAAGATGAATTGATTTGATCAACCTGTAAGACCACTTAAGTTCCTATTTTCTCTTCCTTAACACTCCCTCTTATCAAAAAGAAGGACCTGAAGGCTCCCAATGGACCAGTAAGTTCCTTATTCAAAATAGTATGTACTATATCAGTTTTTATTTATAAGATACAAAAATAGCAAAAATCAAACAAGTCTAATTCCTAGAGGGCACAAATTCCTCAAACAGTTCTAGCTCTATTAGATCTTACTTTAAAAGAAACCCTCTATGATCAATTTGTAGCTTTATTCTACTTTATAGAATCTATTTGCATAAAATATGCAAGAGGATGGTTATATACTTCAAATCTCTTTCCTTTTCAAACAAAATTGCTTTATTTATAAAGAATCTGAAGCTTCATATTCACATCTCATTCTAAAAAAAGGTTACTTATAGGCAAAGCTTTTTTTTTTTACTACTGTAATAAAAAACCTATATATTGAGGAAATCACATAAAAAGGTCCTTTGCAGTGCTTCCTATGCTGAAGAAGGGAATAATTACATGAAAGCTCATGTAAGTTGAGAGCGGCAAAATCCACAACTTAAGAATACAACATTCCAATCACCTTACTGTGAAGAAGATAAAGCTATAAGAACGTGAGAAAAAATATGGGGACCATAGTCTTGAGTATGAAACTACAATAATATAATTTCTATAGTATTTAAATTACTAATACTATGTTATTTATACTAATACTACTAGTATTATTTCATAAAATCTTACCTATAACACATCTTCATAGCTAAGTAAGACAGAATAAATTAAACTGAGCTCCCAAGCACATTTGCTTTGGAACTTTTGTTTTTTTTTTCTTGAGAATTAAAATGTTCAGAGAACCAATGTGAGACTTCCAGAATTAGAAGAGGATTTAGAGATCAAGTCCTATTCCTTGTTTTATGGGAAAGAAGATGGAAGTTCTAAAGATGAGTGGGGCTGGGAATATAGCTCAGTTGGTAGAGTGCCTACCTCACATGCACAAGGCCCTGGGTTCAATCCCAGCAACACACACACACACACACACACACACACACACAAAAAACAACTAATGACAGAACACAGGATTGGAATTCAAGTCTACATCCACTGGTTCCCACTATCTCTTATTTTGGAAGAAGCAATGTTCACAGATCTGTTGAAGCAGAATAAATTATCCCAACCCAGTGTCTGACTTACAAAGAGCAAGGCCATAAAGTTATGAATTTACAAAACTGATAATGAAAAAAAATTATACTAGTTATTACAGAAACAAAGTAAAATCAATTAGAAAGCAGTAGCATTATGCCAAACCAAAGAATTAGTCACATGAAGCCTGGTACACATTTATACAATTAAAAAAATTCAAACATTTGATATTTTTAAAGTTTCCACAAATATCTCATTGTGTTATTACTGAAATTTAAGTTTGATAGGTACTTAACTGTTAAGAATGGATATTACCAGGAAAAAAAAAAAAGGACTATGTTACTGTAATATTCAAAATTAGCTAACTTCTCTAACACTTATGAAACTGGCCAGTTCTATAAGACGACTCAATCACTATTGACAAATGAATATTTTTCACTATTAATAGGACAACTTCATCTGGATTTTTTGGAATCACCTCAAACACATCTTTCCTCCAAAGCTTTCCTTTCATTGTCCCTTCCCAATTTATGGCATCAGCACTGACTCAGATGCTTGTTTACAAACAGTTCTATGCCTGAGTCCTTTTACCCTCATCCCCATACCCACTCCGTTTTTCACAAGTCTATTCAAGGTATCAACTATCTCCTAGTTTCTTAAAACAACTTCCTAAAAGTACTCCCTGAAACCAGACTCTTCTAATTGTAGTTAACCAAGATAACAATTTGATCCAGTTATTCCTTGGTTAAAAAATTCAAGAAATTTCCTTGAAGTCTAAACTCTTTCACACCCATCTTAAAGACAGTTATTTTGCCATTCTTGTTCACTGGTCCACACCTGCATCTGCAACCACACACTAAGATGCAGCCATATCATACGTCTCTTCCCATGTACACGTGATCCCACCTGTCTCTGGAGAAACCACTCCCACTGGCATGCCTTCAACATTTATTTTCCTTTCTTGGTCTGAAACCACTTGGGATTTTCCAAGGAAGAACTGGCTATCTCTACTTCTGTGCTGCTTGGATTTCTAATAATATTGTACTAGACTGGCTAATTTATTTGTTCATCTCTCTTACCAAGAAATGGTTAAGCACATAGGATTCTGGAATCTGTCACTATTCCTCTTAAAAATAGGCTATCCTGAGTGAATTATTTAACTGCTTCAGTTTAAGAGGCTTAAAAGGTTACTTAAGGTAATAAATGTAAAAGGCTTAATGCTTATGTAACTAGCATGTAATAAACACTCAACGAAGTTAACTATGACAAAGAAATAATGGGCAAACAATAAACATTTGCTAGTTTTGATAGAAGGACAGTATGGGGTGCATGTTCAAATCATAAACGACTTATAATGAAAAAGTGTTTGCTTAGGGGTAAGCAATATGTTCTAGTAAATCTAAAGATGTTTTGTTAGTGAAAACCATCACTTTACCTAAAAAGTTTTTGCTTAGAGTTACACAACAAAAACTGCCCTACTAATTGGGCAGCCCCCCCCCCATTTAAATTTCAGTCAACATTCTATTAGTAGTATACTTAGAGAAAAATGTTTCATTTAAAAAAAAAAAAAAAAAAAATCTGATGAGGGTTCCTACACAGCTTTCTCCCAAAAGCTCCTTCTAAGAGATAAAAAAAGGAATCCTTACATTCTGTTGGTGTCAAATGCTGAGTCAATCTCCATGGGAATAATGGAATAAAAACAACGAAATAACCAAATTTATTGAGTGTCTATTATATTTCATGCAAATGTGAAAAACATTTAATCCTTGTGACAAACATTATCAGTTCGCATTTTTTTTATCTTCATTTTACAGATATACAAACACTAACATTAGAGAGGTAAATCACTTGTTCCAGATGAAGGGGGAGGTACTGGAACAAACTCAAATTCCCACAGACTTCTGAGCAAAATGGCCCTGTTTGACTGCCTCCCCCCAAACACAAAAGTTTCCTCATGGATAAATGAAATTTGTAGCTATAGAATGATCTCAAAACACGAAAGAATAAATATCTGAAATTAATAAAATGTACTAGTATAGGAATGAAAATATATCCTTACATGGAAATGTGATACAGTTTTTCCTCCTACAGTCAGGGCCGCGGTTTTTCCATTATGGTTTTCCTTTGGAGTATATTTTAGAACATGGCAATCTTGTACCTAAAAAAAAAAAATAAAAGGGTCAAAATACATTGAGGACCTAGGATAATTAGAAATTCTCCAAAGTTATTTAACTCATCATCCCTGTAATGCCAATCACAATCTTAAAATATACAACTAAAACTTTAAAAAACTGTCAAATACAACAAACAGAAAAGCACATAAAATATAAATATACAATGAAATGAATGCTTATAAAGATTCAAGAAGTAGAACCCCCAAAACTTCTGTGTATCTCCCAATCATATCTCTGCCTTTTTATTCCAGAGCAGGAATAAAAGTGTGGGCCCCAGACAATCCACAACATCTGTGAACCTGCTAAAAATGCACTCTCCAACTCTAATTCAGATCCACTGAATCAGAATCACTGCTATATAAGACCTCCAGATGATTCCGAGGCTTACTACAATTTCAGAAGCAGTGCTCTAGAAATAACTCTTGACATTTATGGTAATCACTTTTCTCTATGATTACTCTTTGGGAGGACTGCCTAATAACGGATCTAGTGTTGTCTGGTTTAGACTGTATATACTCTTTCATGTCTTCTGTTGCTCAACATGGTTTTGTAAGGTTTCTCTGTGTTGTGTGTAACTCTACGCTGTTCATTTTCATTGCTGCATAGCATTTCATTTTGTGACTATGAAATGATTTATTTACCCATTCTAATGCTAATGGACATTGGGATATTTCCATTTCTGGAGTATGAAGTGTGATGCTGCTGTAAACTGTTATAAAGAAATCTTGGCACACACTTGTTCAAATTTTCCAGTAGCACTTGTGAAGGGAATTGTTAAACTATCTAAACTTAACTACATAATACTGAATTATTTTCTGAAATGGCTGTATCAATCTACAATCCTACCTGCCATTCCTGAAAACTTTCAAATTTCCCAAATGAGTCAAAACCATGGTCCTGTACTTGATCATTCAGAACCAATAAAAATTTATGAAGGTTTGTAGGCTATCTGTGTCTTATTAGCATTCTAAATACTTAAGAGTACTTAATTATCACCACTTGTCTAATTATTTGTCTGAGACTAGGTCCCAAAGATTTAACTGAGTTGTTCAAAGTGATTGGGACAGTGATATTCTCCTAATGCTCTTTCTATAGTAATGAAGACAGCAGTTGCTCAATTTCTAGACATTTAATGTTGTTTCAAGTGCCTGATATTTATTATCTTGTGCAGTCCTCTCAATAGCCTTCTGAGGTAGGTCAGAATTATTTCTTTCACAGAATAGAACTTATCTTTTACAGATGAGGTATGGTGCTCCAAGGAACAAAGTGAATGTCAGAACCAGGATTTAAACTCAGAGGTATGCTGTCCCAGGACCCACTTTCTTAACCATTCAAGTGTACCTCATCTCAGTGAACAAAATGTGGCTTCTTCAGAGAAGAGTATATTACATTCTGTTGTTAGCAAAGAGATCAAAATTATAATTTGGAGCTGAAAGAACTCTGTAAGTGGAAATAAGATGGGATCGAAATGTTTTCCCAATAATGAATTAAACTGGCAAGTCTGTGAGAAGCTAGGTTTGCACTTAACCCCAATGTACAGCTGCAGTTATCCCAATACCAGTATCAGGTCACTGCTCAGGCAAGATTCAAAACATTCCTGAAATCATCAGAAGAAAAGTTCTTTGATATTATCTATGTCTGACAATACTCTTTTCTTCACCACACTATTACATGTTTCAGGATACAAAAAAATAATCATGAAAGTCCAGACAAAGAGATCTTGACATACTAAAATCACTTTCCAGTTTTGTTTCTTTTTTACCTGAAGTAATGTGACTGCATGTTTCTGACCATCCTTAGTCCACAGAGGCATCATACCCAGTTTCACAGCAATAAGGCCAACTCTAGAAGAACCTGGAAATTAAAACAAAAGCTTCTGAACACTTGCCAATAAGATCTAATAGTCTCTCCTAAAATCTGGTTTTAATACAAGGAGCGGGCATATAAAAAAATATGCTAGTGTGGTCACAGAGTAAAACAAGATTGATCCTTACAGATGTAACAGATGCCATGTCTTTAACTATGCCTGGCATAATATATTGATATTCATAAATGTTTGTAAAATGAACAAATGAAAGAAAACTGTACCAAATAAAGAAAATAAGGTAAGCTGGCACATTCTGGTTTTTAAATAATAGCATATACATAGGATACATAAATCCATCATTGTGCTTATGTAGTATCAATTCATGCCCAACTTTATTAATCAAAAAACATCTACTGGGCTGGGGATGTGGCTCAAGCGGTAGCGCGCTCGCCTGGCATGTGCGGGGCCCTGGGTTCGATCCTCAGCACCACATACAAATAAAATAAAGATGTTGTGTCCACCAAAAACTGAAAAAATAAATTTAAAAAAAAAATTCTATCTTAAAAAAAAAAAAATCTACCACTTAAATTCTAAGAAGGTATGTTACAACCAGTTATAGTGTTAAATATGCTAATTTCTATCATAACACTTACATTAGTTGCATAATCAGCAAAGATGCTCTACTAAGAACTTTTGGCCACTATACAATCAACTGTCACAATATATCCAACCAGAGACTACAGACTCAATGGGAAAGGCCTTTTTTTTCTTGGTCTGGCCACACAGGGGTTTAATATCTCACCAGATACAAAGAGCTAATATTGGAGTCATTCTTGGCAAACCTAAAATGTTGGAACATCCCAACTGAAACCATTTTTTGTGACACATTCAATTTTTACATCATATTCTACCCCTTCTTTGCTGATTTATTTTGTGTTCTGTTTATCTGAAGAAAATGAGAATGTATGCAGAATGAGTCTCCTTTCACCTCAAAACAGTTTCTTGAGGAGGTGTTTCACTAACAGATTAGGAAGCCAGAAATAAACTTGCAAACCAAATCACAATGAAACACACAAACTGAAGACATGAACCTTAATTCAAGAGATGAAAAATTTATCCAGCAATCCCTATAATTTTAAATATGTCCATCCACACAAAAATTAGAACTCATCAAACAAAAAAAGAATTACCTGGTTCCCAAGGATGTACAGGCCATGGTTCATCTTTCAAAGGACTCATTTTACTTGCTAATTGGGCTTTATCTTCATCAGAGACCAACTGCTTAACGAATGAGGCATTTTCCTCAGAAAGATGCTCATACCACCAAGTACTACTCTTGCCATGGAGACCTCTAACAAAAAGCCAGATGTTTGTTCTGTAAAAATGAAAATTAATGTAAATCACAATTCTTCCATTTAATGTAAGAAAGGGAGGCCACATGTTAGAAAATGTAGTCGCAGCCTGAGGAAAGGGTTTGAATTGTGAATCCCTCCCACCCCCTAATATTCTTTATGATCACAATGGAGCTCACATTTTACCATGAATGGTTACCCTGGAAGAAAAGTTCTTAATCTCCTCTGGGATAAACCAATTCCTGATAAAGTAGTTCTACCTAGACACTATCCCATTTGAAGTCATTATCCCATGTGTATTTTTGAATGTGTATCTTAATAGTTTTATATTCAGTGGAGGTGGCGGGATGCAGCACTGATGTTTCTCTAAGTTCATCTCCTCCCTGCAATGACACGGCCTAGGCACACAGACATGAAGAAACTGGTTGGCGTCACAAAGTTAGAAGACCCCAAAAGACATGACCAGGTGAATATATCAAGAGAAACCTTAGTGGGTGACGGTCAGAAAGGAGGTGTGTTATTTTTACATGGAGGGGGGTCAGAAAAGAAAGTTTTTGGCGGTCCATTCCCTTTTGTAGTTAGGTAGAGCTAGGCTAGAATTGCGATTTAACAATATGTGTTAAATGACTGTGGGCAAGTTGCTTTCCCTAAGTTTCAGTTTTACCTGTAAACCGACGATAGTTTGCTCACATAAGTGCAAACGTGCACTACACTTAACAGAGCGTCTGACATATATTACATGCTCATTAGCTGGGGGATATTATTGCCACTGATAATATTCGCAGCTAATCGCCTGTTTATAAGCATTTTAAAATACATCACACCTTCAATCCCTTAGGAGATGCTTTTTTAAGTTAACGCTCTTTATTATTCTGTGCCTCACTTCTGGACAGAGCCCCTTCCTCCTCTAGCCAGGGCAGGCCCCTCCGCGCCAGGCTATGACACTGCTCAAGGACGCCGCTGTGCAGCTGCACGACCCCTACACCCCTTCTCTTGTTCGTACCTACCTACACCCCATGCTCAGGTTAGCACCCAGGCCGCCGCCGCTGGCGCAGCCCAGCACCTGGGCGCCGGCCTGAGCCAGCAGCCTCCAACCTGGCATGAAGCGGCCGAGGAGGACTCGGTTCCCGACACCTCCGGGTGCTCCGCCTCTGTACTTTAAAAGCGTCCACACTCAGGCACCACGCGTTCCTAGCTGCCCTGGGGCAGCACTTATACCGCCGGTCGGCTAACGTCCTCCGCGACAGAAAGAGAGGAACAGGAGCAATTTCCGGCCCGGAGCAACTTCCGGTCCGTTTCCCAATGAATTCCGTGCACGAAGGTCAAGCCCCAGAACTAGAGTTCCTCTTCCACAATAGTCCTATTTTGGGTCTGAAGAGGGTGCTGCGTGGAAGGGATGCTCACGTGTGCAGGGGTGGAAGGGTGCAAACGTCTTCAGGGGTGCGGGGAAAAGGATGTTCAGAGTTTAACTTTTAGAAGAATGAGAAGAACAAAGGACAGGCTTTCTGAGAAAGCTAATGAAAGAGAAATCCCTTCGAATAGTGCTCACTGTAGGACAACTCACTGTGCTAAGCAGTGCTTTGATAATCTTGTATTGGTTAATCCTCAAGACATTTCTGAAAGGAAGTTGTTGTTTTTATTTTATAGATATATATTTATATATTAGAATTTAGGTGTGGGTCCAAAACAACACATCTGGCAGATGGGCAGAGTTGACACGGAAATGGGACTGGCTTGTATTAACAATAGAATATGACCAAAGTGAAGTTGTGTGACATCCAGGGCTGGATCATAAAACCTATTGCCACTTTTGTTTTAAGTCTTTTGGACGGCTTCCCTAGGAAAAGTCAGTGTTCATGTTCTGCAGACCCTCATACAACTCTGTAGAGAGGCCTTTCAACCTGTGTGTGAATCATGAGTGAGCCATGTATGAGCCATGTATGAGTGGATCCACCAGCCCCAGACAATCTGGGGAGTTCAGGTGACTGCAACTCATGAATGTCCTTCAGCCTGAACCATTAGCCAAGAAGCTCCTGAGTTCCTGATCAGGCACAATTGCTAGAGAAAATAAATGCTTAATGCTGTTTGTTACTAAACTTTAGGGTGATTAGTAATGCAAAAAGAGGTAGCTAATGTAGCACAAACCAACCCCTGTGTTCCACATCCAGCCTAACCAGTATGTATGTCCTTTGGACATTCATTCTACTATAACCAAGTCAATTTCCTTATTTGTCAGATGAGTATTTGTAGAAGTTAAAAAAATATCTTAAAAGTTTAGCTTTTTAAGCTTCCTCTCTTCATTTGAGATCTGAATATCATATCCTTCATTTGAGGATAGCCTGTCTTGCAAGGTTCAGGCAAGGATCAATTTGTAGCTAGTACTTGAACTTCAGTCAGTAAGTCTCAAAACCTTTACTTTGCTTGTCCTTTCATTCCATCCATTGCTGTTGCAGTTACCTTGGACATTTCTCAATAACGCTTTAGACCTTGGAGGAAAAAGAGTGTATATCTCTTCACCCTACTCAAGCTGTCTTTTCAGTTACTTAAGAAAGGTCCTTCATTCAACAAACAAGTCTTGAACTGAGTTACATTAAGAAGCTGAAAATAAAAGACTTCCCTACTACTGATGATAGCTAGCATTTCTTGTGCATATAGTATGTTATAACATGTGCTCAGTGTTGTGGTAGTTCATCATTCAAATACCACGGAGAGAATACCTGAACTCATATAAAGTTTAATTAGTTTGCTATGGTAAGAAGGAAAATGCACCTGGGGATGTTTCTATGTGAGTGAGTTGGGAGGGGCTTTTATAAGATTTGGACATATGCTGAGTGATGATAGGATATGAACAGGGAAAGAGAGACTTGTTTTGGAATGAATGTCATCAAGAAGCAATGGTAGTTCAGCAATTAGGCATCTCAATTTTTGTTCTGGAGACAAGAAACCAAGAATGGAATTGGATATGATGATGAAAGTAGCAATCACTCAGAAGGAATTGGTAGTCATTTTGTAGCAATAGTGTGGTCTTGTGGTATATAGTATGTTAGAAATATTGTGTTGATATTATTATTATTATCATTATTGCTGCTATCAGGGCTTATTTTCACTCTCTTGGTGTATTTTCTTAATCTTTATAATAACCCCATGTGGTAATACTATAATCATCTCAATTTTACAGTTGAGAAAATGGGCAAGGATACATTACATAACTTAGATAAGGTCATGCAGATAGTGGTAGAGCCAAGATTTAAATCTTATTAGTGTGATAGTAGAACTTGTGCTCTAGACATTTTATTTGTTTCTATATAACTAATATATTGCCACCTTTGCCTTGAAACTCCTAAGGGAAAAGAGGAAAGTTGGCAAGTTAATATATCACATATAGTGATCCATAAAGATTAATAAGGCAGCCATTTAGTATAACATTTGCCCCTAGTGCCAAATCTCTCCTAAGTCCAGAATGGTGACTTTGAAGAAATAAAATTCAAAGCAAACTATGATTTTTCTGCTGTCATGAAATGTGTGTCTACTGATTGCCACCTACGGGTCAATTAGTATGCTGCTAATTGACAAGTACTAGGCCTAGTTGCTGAAGGACCCAATCTAAGCTTCCCTAGGACACACAGGTACTGATCTGGAGCTTCCCGTCATTTCTAATGTTATACTTCAGAAATTGCCTTAGACCCTGGGGCTACCTTGTCTCTCTAGCACTTCAGTTTCTCAGTGGAATTATGTTAGTCAAGTTTCTATTGCTGTGCCTCATTTATCTGATAAGAACAACTTACAGGAGAAAAATTCATTTCGGGCTCACAGTTTCAGAAGTTCAGTCTATGGTTGGCTGACTCCATTGCTCTGGTCTTCAGCTGAGGTGGAACAGCATATCAGAAGAGCATGAGAGAGGAAAGCTGCTCAGCTTACGGCAGCCAGGAAGCAGAGAGAGCAAGGCATCAGGGACATAATATAAAACCCAAGGGAATGCCCCTGTGACCTCCTTCCTCCAGCCACACCCCACTTGCCTATGGTTACCACCTGATAATTCATTTCAATTATTAATACATCAGTGGATTGATCCACTGATTAGGTTACAGCTCTCTCCATCAAATTGTTTCACTTCTGAACATTCCTGCATTGTCCAACATGAGTTTTTTTTTTTTCAGAGCACCTCACATCTAAACCATGACAAGAACAGTGATAACTTACACAGTCTCTTTTTACCACACAGCTCTGTAATTCTTACTCCACTAACTCAGATTGGAAGTTTATATAATAATGCCCCTCCTAATTAAATGAAACATTACGAATGCTTTCATTTCTGAGTTACTGAAGTGATGTCCAACCAAAGAGAATCACAATAGAAGGAGTACATTTCAAATCAAGGGATCATTAGAAATCTTTTTCTACATGTGCCTGCCACTTGGCTCTACTGTTAATTCTTACAACGTTAGTGATATGTCCTGTATGGTTGACTTATTGTAGAACAATAAAATTTTCATTATTGGGTCGTTTACATTTTAGTACTAATTTATGCCGTCCCCTATTTCATAACATCCCTTATACTTTAAATTTTAAAATCTTAAACAAGTTTGGACTTTTAATTAAATATTCCATGGCCTTCTTTCATTTTCCCACAGTTGTAGAAATTTAGCATATTTTTAAATTGGTAGAGATGTTAAGAAGTGAGTCAAGTATCCAATGGTGCAATGAATAAATGCACTTTCAGAAACTTTGAGATTCCATTGCTAGCTAGAATAGAAAGCCTGAGAGACCAGATTATACCATCCACAAATACTCATTCAGTAAGAAAATGACTATTTCCTCAATTTCCTCCACCAAGACCAGGTCACAGTTTGTAGCTTCAATATATGGCTTTTAAAAATACATTTTTTTTTTAGTTTAAAACTTCTGGATCAGGATAAAGACTTTAGGGTTAAAGAGATTACCAGAAGGGAAATTCTTCTGTCTGGGGGGAAAAAAAGAGGAGTATGGTCATGTAGTGATGTGGATTTAAAGTTCCTCAGCATTGCGTCCTCCTCTATTGTATTCAGCATGATTCTGAAACTCAATGTATTTACGCTACAGAGCATATCTTTAAATTTCTTTGATGGCTAAACAAAAATGTTAGCAACAGACAATGGAGTATCACAGGCCAGGGGACCAAATGCTTTCAGTCAAGTACATCCTCTCCCTGGCCTTCCTCCTAATGCCAGTGTTGTTTTGACTGCGCAGAGTGGCTGTAGACCAGTGAGTATTATGGTTACCTGGAACCAGAGTTAGGGTGTCTCCTCTGAGTTTAGCAGATAAAGAGTCTGGAGAAAATCCTAGAGACTAGCTATTGTGAATTGTGCTGCTATAATCATTTGGGGTTTTAAATCCACTTGGAGGAGGTCTAGGGGTTCTCAGAAGAATGATAAATAGCTAGCACTTAACATTGCTCTTGCTAAGTGACAGAGATTATTCTAAAAGCTTTACAAATATTAACTCATCTCATTTAATCCTCCTCCATAAGGTGGGTACTATTATTATCATCCTCGTTTTATAGATGTATAAACTGAGGCACAAAGAAGACAAGCAGCTCATCTAAGGTTACAAACCTTAAATTTGTTAGGTAAAATCAGAAGTTTAACCCAGACAGGCTGAATACAGAATCTAAGAACTTAACCACTTTGCGGTACCACCTTTTTGTTTAGAAAAGAGAGTTACATGGTATAATATTGGAACACACAGTTTGGCATCCAGATATTGCCCCAGACAAGCAAGAGTTTAGGATGGTGATGCTAAGTATAAATCTTCAAAGATCTGATCAGCCAAGATCAGAATCTTTCTTTTCTTTTCTTCTTTCTTTTGACAGTGGAATGCATTACATTTCTTGTTACACATATAGAGTGCAGTTTTTCATATCTCTGATTGTATACACAGTGTATATCCACACCAATTAGTGTCTTCATACCTGTACTTTGGATAATAATGATGATCACATTCCACCATCATTAATAATCCCATACTCCTCCCTTCCTCTCCCACCCCCCTGCCCTATCTAGAGTTCGTCTATTCTCCTGCTCCCTATCACACTATAAATCAGCCTCCTTATATCAAAGAAAACATTCAGCATTTGGTTTTCTGGGATTGGCTAACTTCACTTAGCATTCTCTTCTCTAACTCCATCCATTTGCCTGCAAATGCCATGATTTTATTCTCTTATTGCTGAGTAATATTCCATTGTTTATATATGCCACATTTTTTTTTTAATCCGTTCATGTATTGAAAGG